GTCTGGAATGGGCTCCCAAGGGAGGTGGTGCTCTCCCCTACCCTGGGGGTCTTCAAGAGGAGGTTAGATAGGCATCTAGCTGGGGTCATCTAAACCCAGCACTCTTTCCTGCCTATGCAGGGGGGTGGACTCGATGATCTATTGAGGTCCCTTCTGACCCTAACATCTATGAATCTATGACATTGTTGTGCAGAACCGGGATGGCCAACAGATACTCCAGAATTTCTGCACAAAGAAGATGTTTATGAAGGTGACTAAAGAGCTTGCCTTAACTTTCCAACACATGGACATACAATTGAGGGAGCCTGTACCAATCCAAAAACAGGATGTTATTGCCATCTGAAAGATAGCTACCCAGACTGCTATAGATCTGCGGATAATCTGTATTGTTAACTTGACAACATCTTCATCACTGTGGTGGTTGTGGTCTTTGGTAAAGAGATTCATACTGTGAATTACCTCTAGAGGTTGGGCATGACTAGTATGCTAGAAAAAATGGGTTTCTCAAGCTGTACTGGGGCATGTGTCCACGCTTTGTCTACTGTAAGGAATATATGAATACCCAAACCAAAAGAAGCACTATTCCCAGTGCCTCAGTCAACTAAAAAAGGCAGGTTCATAGGCACTGACATGAAAAAGACGCAATGTACATGACACCAAGGTGCCAGATCACAAGCAGGGATCTCACTTCCACCAAAATCAAGGTTGTCAGTGAAGTGTGAGACCATTTATTTTAGGGGATCTCACCTACCCTCTCCAGCTGTGGCTTATGAAACCACATTCTGACCACAGAGCATCTGGCATAAGATTTATTTAAATTAATTATACCTTGATACAGGATGGTGCTATAACATGTATTTGACAAGCTGAAGGCAGAAGGGTACCACCTATAAAAGTATTTGGATGCCAGAAGCAAGTACTTAATACATTCTCTTTATTACTGTGGCATACTACCCTGCACATCATCTGCAAAGCTAGAGGTTCTGCCTGGCATGGGCTTGAGATCATGTGGCACGGCATGGGCTTGAGCCTCAAGGCACCAAACCAGCGATCAGAAAGCACACCTGTTGTGGCTGGGACTAGAGCCAGCCTGAGTAGAGCGACATAAGAGAAAGGAAGCACACACCTTCCATGTTCATGAAAAGAAGATAGGCAGATATGCATCCCTTGTACCAGCATGATGACATCAAATATAAAAACAATGTAATATGAGAAGTCCCTTCCAATTCTAATTTTCTATGACTCTATGATAAGCACGTCTATGCTGTGCTGGAAAGGGCCAGGAAGTGCCTATTTGCACCTGCTGTGCTGCACATGCTGCATGCTTGAATGCTTATCTTGCTTGGGGTGATCTGTCCAGCTTGGGCACGGGGCTGGACCTGATGATCTCACAGGTCCCTTCCAGCCCTAATGTTTATGAAATCTATGTAAGCTGCTGGCACGACTGCAACAGCTTTTTTTGGCACACAGCAGGCACGCAGCAGGAGCGACCTGGCATGTTTTCAGGGTGGTGCTTCCTAGCACTTAAGGCAAGCAGAGAACGTTCACACGCAGCTTCATAAAACGGTGAAAAAAATCAGTACATAACAAAAAGCTGCGAGTAGTCAAGCAAAAAGTCTCCTCTCATGCAGCACTTTTCCTATGGTCTATATTACTCTAGGTTAAAAATAAAAAGTTATTGTTTTGTAGAACCGAACAAGAGAAAAATGTGTAGCCAATAATATTTTCTCTAGTCAGAGAAAAACAAAGAGCCAGACACATGTGCATTACCTGAACAGCATTACTTAAAATTTATCTGTAAAAAAAGTCTCTTAATTTCAACCATTTTAACTAATTCAGTTATCTACAGGATTCCAGATCCTCAGATAGACCCTGCCTTGTTGTGTTTAGAAAACAAAATCCAAAGGTTTGTATGCACGGATGGAGTCAGACCGATGTGCAGCGCATTCCAGAAGCATCTGTTTACCTCTACAAATTAATTTTCATTTCCTCCTCAGCCTACAAATACTGAGCTTCTAGTATCTTTACCAGCTGGCTGATAAGGAGATGAGTACTAACAGCATATTCATGTGCTCTGTTCTTGCATAGATTTCAAAGGTTAACAAGGTGTATGCTAGCTGCTTCCGTTTAAGATAAGATCACAGAAGCTCAAGAAACCCACCCTATTACTATTAAAATACATACACCACTACAGTAAATGAATACCCTTGAAAAAGCAAATACACCACCAACAGCACCATGATCAAGGGGCCATTATAAAATGTATTATTAATACCAATTGTTTTTGCCTTTTAAGTAATTTCTAGCATCCAACCTATCTGCTTTTTAAAAGGTTGAGAACAGAGTTTGGAAAAGGGAAAGAATAGATTAAAGTATATTTAGACAAGTGCTCAATTTAGCAGAGCCTGATGCAGTTTGTTGCTGAGTATTTAAGAAATCACCCAAAGCAATCTATCTTTGTCAACTCATGAGAGACACGGGACAACCCAGAGAAGTGGAGGAGAGGAAAGCACAGCACATTTGTTTTAAACCAGAAAAGATGGCAACTCAGGGAATCACAGATTAGTCAGCCTAACTTTGTTATCTGTAAAGATATTAAAACTAGTTATTAATTTATGGACATCTAGACGAGGAAAGAGGTGTTAAAAAGCAGCTAACATGGATCAATAACTGGATGGGTGTGACCTGGTCTATTTCTTCTTAGTAAGAGTAACTGGCCTTATGGATAAGGCAAAAGCAGTAAATGTGTTGTATTCTGATTTTAATAAGGCTTTTGAAATTGTCAGCATTGTCATATGACTTTTTTCCCCCATAAGGCTGCTAGGGAAATATGCTCTATTCAACATCAACTTAATGCACATAGTATAACGGTTAGAGCACAGTTTTTTCAGTGAGTTCCCTGTTAATGGTCTCCTGTCAAACAGAGAGCACCTCAAGCGGGGACCTGCAGGAATGTGTCCTGAGTCTGCTTCATTTTTACTGGGAGGGACAGGGGTTCCCGCATTAATGACTCCGATGATAAAATGGAGAGGACATTTATAAAATTTGTGGCTGTCAAAGTATTGCAAACACTATGTAGAACAGAATTAGAACTTATCTTAAAAACTGGAGTAACAGTCTGAAATCAACAAACTGAAATTCAGAGACAAGAGGACCACAGTTAGGAAAGGCAAAATCAAATATGCTAATATAAAATTGTCAGTAATCTGCTACACAGTTATTTCAGAAAAGCTTCTGGGGCTACTATGGACTATAAATTGACCATGAGTCAGTGTGGGACTGCAAAAAGAAAAACCAACCCAAAAAACAACAAATTTTAATATGGAGTTTATTAACAAGAATGT